TGATTATTTTGTGTTTAAAACTAAAAATGACACTAACACTGACAGAAAATTTCATTAATAGAAATTTCAAAAAATGTTCTCTAACTGCCCTAATTTTATGAGAAACATGCAGGAAAATACATTTTAGAAAAATAATTTGACAAACATTTTTGTCAAATTCTTTTTGTTTTTGATGCAAAATGTCACAAGAAATTCACATTTATATGTATTTATTATGTTTTATTTTATTTTTAATTTATTTTTTTTAATTAGTCTAGTAATTTGAATTATCATAATTCACTTTTTTAATTCAAGTAGTTAATAGTTATTAAAACAAATCAAGTAAGTAATAAAACAAATAAAAAATGTTAAAATTAAAAATGAATAACAAAAAACTGAAAAAAATGGAGAATCAGAAGAGAATTAGGGGTTAATTAGAGGTGGGGTTCTTTTGTTTATGGTTCAGGTTAAGGAACCACACAGCTTTGCAATCTTCAGTAAATGATTTTTGTGATTTACTTTATAGTTCTACATTTACGTTAAATATTTCAAAGATTAAGTTTTACTTCGAGCAGTTATTCCACCTTTTTAAGGTCATCTTACCATTATCAACGTTCTTCATCTCCACCCTTTATCTCCTCTCCATATCCACAGTGAGCTTGAGTGCTTTGGATGAAATCTACTTCCAAGAAGGAGATTGTCCTAGATAAAAAAAAAGAAGAAAAACAAGGGGGTCATGTTTTTTTAACATGCTGTTTTGTCTGCGCTGTGTTCTGATTGGACAGACAGTGAACATGGATAATTGTAGTCTCTCTAAGGCAGGGGGTGTCAAACTCAAATTCACAGTGGGCCAAACTTAATATATACTGAAAAATTGATGGCATTTTCTCGTGTTTCCCTTTCTCTCCAGATCGGTAATGTAGATTTTTTCAAATGGAAACAAACTTTAGTTTTGCATAAACACTGAATCTGGAACGACCAGAGGTTAATATTATAAACACACGAGATATTCAATTTGAAATAAAACATAAATGTAATCACCTGTTTGAGTTTGCGTCAAGCCCTTGTCTAGATGAGCGTCGCATGAACTCCATCCCCCAACAACCTCCTCTTCCTTCTCCTCTTCCTCCTCCTCTTCCTCCTCCTCCTGCCCTGTACTGCCATAAATAAATGGATTGACTTCTGCAGAAGCGACAGTTTTCCTTCATAATTGTTAATTATCGTGAGTGGTCTCTGAGGTACTTTCTATGAATGGAGATGAGAAACGCACTCTCTCACACCCCACCCTCCTGTTCTTTATATGCTTTTGGTCATAGTTCTCAAGGACACCAAAAAGGACGTAGACGATGGAGGGAGGAGGTGTGGTGCCCGGGTGGGGCATCTGCGTCACTCTGGAGCTTTAGTGCTGGAGGACTTTATGGCAGTGGACTCTATCTGGACAGCTATCTACGCACATCTCTCTGAAAGACTGATGTGGACCACCAGTGACTCCACCCAACCCCCGCTGACTCCTCCCACAGTCCCAGACCAGAGTACAGCACTTAAGGTAATGTAAATAAGCTGGGAGAGAGGGCTATTTTAAGATGCTGCCTTTCACTGCAACCATAGTGGGGGACAATGAGGCAAGCCGGGACATTGTAATGACAGTCACGTTTTCAGACATGTTCTCGCTCTGCGTGCTCCGCCACAGAAAGAAAGGCCTTGAGGACGAGACAGTTTTGTACAACAGAACATGAAGGATTAAAGGTTGGAAAAGTTGGTCTGAGCAAATACTGTATATGGACGTGAAGAAGCAGAAATAATTGAAATTATTTTACTGAATCTGTAAAAGATCTGCCAGAGGATTCTTACGGTGGGCTAAGAAAACCAACAAGAGGGAAACAGTCGAGCCGTAAATCAATTTAAACGAATGCGCTCATTGAATTATTTGTGAAATTAATCAGATCAAATTGTGAAACCACTTTGGGAATCACGAGTCTCGGCTAAAACACTCGGCTGTGACTAAGTCTCTTCAGAGACAAATCTGGAAACGACTGGAACATTATTAACGTTAACTCCGAGAGCAGTTTTAACGACAGTTTTTTTCTCTTCTCACAGAGGAAGACTTTGTTTAATTTCCTGAAATAGATTTTTTTATTGATTTATATTCTGTGACATAAAAATAAATCAACATTTATACATATATTATATATATATTTCAGTCATTTCCACCAGTACTCTCTATAGTATATGTTCTGGTCTATTCGCAAACGTAAATATCACAAAAATGACAACATGAACAAAAAGTCGCTGCAGTTTCACTGCGTGACTTTTCACGTCACAAACAAAACGTTGCACAAACATCAGCTGGAGATTGACGTCTGGTCTCTCTTACATTCAGATTCAGGTCTTTGTCGACTGACAAGAACCGTGGACTGCAGTAAGGCAGCCGGTACTAACACCTGGTACTTTTTACATTAATGACTTACGCAGTCGGTACCAGCCAACAGTCCCAGTCAACTATTGTCGACGTTTATATTTGTGACATGATTCACAGCCTTTAGGTATTTGTTATGAATATTACTACAGTGTTTGATCAGAAACGTTAAAAATTCAATTCACTTCAAATTGGCAACGTTTCTAAAATGCAATAAAAAAAAATTAACAAATGTCATTTTATAATAGATGATATGTTCTGGTATTTATCAGATGAAAGAAAGGGAAAAAATGACATTTGTACTTTTACTGACTTGCTCTACGAGTCAAACAGTCCTCAGACAGATGCTTAGCGTCCCTACTAATCATGACTAATCATGATTAATTAGCCTGTGATTAATTAGGTGTAAAATGTTAATGTTTTGACTGTACTGGTTTGTTGTTAAAACTTTTTAATGTTTGTGTTTAAGGTTTGTTGTTAAAACTTTTTAATGTTTTATTTAGATTTTGTAATGAGGGATTTTAAACAGTTCTCTTAACTACTGAGTGCATGTTAATGATGTCATCATGAAGTCTATTTAACATCAAATCAAATCTAATGTCACTGTTAAATGCGTGGATTAGGCTTCACATCAATGCAGTTCTATGACAGGACACATGGCAGCTACTGTTTCTGTTCTGTCATCGTGTGGTCTGGAGGTTACATCAATATCTTCTTCTTCCAGTCTGTACTTGTGCCGTCAGTGATTTTTCTGTTTCACCACAGATTCAATCTGAACAGCGATCAAATCAAAACGTTTTTTTCCTCTGTTATTGTTCAAAAAAAGAGATTGCTGTTTGATGTACTGAGCAAAAAAAAAACAAAAAAACTTACAGACGGAATAATCCACAAGCTGCTAATCTACTGACTGATAATCTGTCTGTTGTCCAGGTGTCACAGGCGGGATTCGAACCCTTCCTCCTGGTTGTTTGTCTGTGCTGTTCCCTCATCTCCACTCTGACCGTGTCATTCTTCGTCATGGTGGGAGGAGTCAGGGCTCGACAGCTCCTCCTCCTCCTCCACCGTCTCCTTCGGCAGCGTGTCACGGCGCGTGAACGCCGCAGCCAAGGTCACGCTCAGACGTGGTTTGACGGACACCATCTCCGACAGCCCGATGTTGTTGCCTCGAGTCACAAGCGTCGTTTTATCCATAATCTCGCCGCTGTCCTTGGACACCACGGCGTCGAGGAAGTCGTACTTATGGGAGATCTTGCCGCTCTCAAACAGGTATTTGGCCAGGTAAGAAAAAGCGACGTTACCCAAGAAGGACGCCAACATGGAGACCGTCTTGAAGGGAAACTTCTGGATCACAATCTCCTCCATCTCTCCAGTGGTGTGGTGCATCCTCAGCTCAGTGGTCCAGCCGGGGTAGTAGATGAACGGCGGCAGCCGCAGGTACGGTTCTCCTCCACCGATACGCAGTACCAGGCCGAACAGGTAGGCGGCCACGGAGCCGTAGGTGTTGGTCCCTTTGACGAAGAGCACGCTGAGCAGCTGAGGGAAGATGATGACGTAAACCAGGTCTGAGCTCAGGTACCACAGACCGTACACGGTCCCAGTCACCAGCGCCATCACTGTCGCCAGGCCGCCAAACACGAAGATGGTGATACGCATCACCCACACGATCTCACGGTCTGATGCCTGGGGACGTCAAGAAACATCAGAAATGAAGTGGAAGATATTACGTCTGAAAATACAACTCATTGAAGTTTTTATACAGAACAAAAACATAGAATTTAACTTTGGACCTAAAGTTGAAGTATGGAAGTTTTACTTTTATAAAACAATAATATTTTGTGTTTAGCTCATCTTCTCTGGCCTGGAGAAAAAAAATCTATGTTTTTCTAAATGTAGTTAATTTTTAGATTTTTAGAAACCAGCCCAATTACTTATTCATTATTAGCTATAGGCCTAATCTGCTGGAGGACGTTCCCATGGTGCACCAAAAATTTCTTCCTGTTAAATATAAGCTGTTTTCCTTTTAAACACACACACACACACGCACACACACATACTTACTGATTGTCTGAAGGCGAGCTGATAAATGTTTCTCGCAAACATGGAGCTTGCCGAAAGGATGGACGAGTCAGCAGAGGACATGACGGCGGCCGACACTGCACCGAGGCCAAAAAAGGAGACGAAGGGCGGACAGAGATGTTGGAGTACGATTGGCAGAATCATGTCGGCCTGTTCCTTGTCACTCGGTGACACGGCTCCGTAAGATGTTTGATTCCAGTCTGTGAAAAAGATAATTAATAAATATATTTGAAAAATGTCAAATAAAAATATTACTTTTGTCTACTATTAACATTTTTGTTTTGATTGTATAATTCTGATCCCGATTTTATTTTCAATTGAACTTGTAGAACTGTTGTAGAACTTTTCTTGTAGAACCCGACTGTGTGACGACTCACTGGAGCGGAGGATCAAATGTGCGGAGCTCTAACTTGTTTTTACAGACACATGGTTTCCTCTAATTTGGTCCCTCGTCTCCTTCAAATGAAAGATTCACACAAACAGCTCGGCTGTTACTGCTACGACTGCTTCATTATGAATGAGCTGAACCAGCTGCTATTTACCAGGCTAGCTCTGATCTGAGGGGCAACATTAGCATAGACACACACACACACACACACACCAACAGCTAATCCCACTCTTCACCTGTGGAGGCGCCGATGGCTCCAATCAGAACAGAGGGCACCGCCATGACCAGGCATCCGAAGGCAGCCAGGAAGGAGAGGACCTGGGCGTATGTGGCAGAGGAGGCCGACAGTACCCTCTGGAAGTACACCTGCCAGGGTATCCCTCCGACACTCTGAAACACACACACACACACACACCCAGAGGGTCAGTAGATTATACACACACATATGTGTGACAAAATAAAAATATATTCAAAATTTAAATTAATTTGACCAGACCCATCCTCCCCTGCAATAACTCCACACCCCCGTAGTGAGGCCCCACCCCCCAACTTGGGAACCACTGCTCTCAGTGACCACCTTTTTTTTTCATGGTAATCACAGATAAAATTGGGTCGTGACCCGGGCTAGTGTGACGTACCAGGAGGCAGAAGTTGTCGATCCACACCCAGATGTCACTCCTGTGGATGCTGCCCCTCCAGGGGGCCTGGTACACCTGTGTCACGGCCGTGACGGTGATGTCTGACACCGCAGGGTTGGACAAAGCAAAGGGAACGCTGATCCACTGTGGAGACGACGACACACAACAGTTAGAGACACAAACACTGTGGTCTGATGGGATGAAGATGGATGAAGTCAGGCTTTAGTCAGGCTCTGATCCTGAAGGAAAGCCTGACCTCAGATCAGCCTGGGAAAGATAACGTTCACTTGTTTTAAAAAAAAAAGACCAAACTACAGAAAAACATTAATATAAAAAAATAGAAAGTTTTAAAAGCAGCCACTGAGAACCAGGATTATTATTATTATATACAGAATTAAGTTCAATTACCAGCCACCCATTTTAATGGATTAGGGAGAATAAAATGTAATATTTCCCAGAAATCTGTCCCCTGACTCACCTCTGGTCTATTTTGTAAATTACTTTAATCATAACTTACTCTAAAACAAATCTAAAACTGACTGTTGTGAGAAGAAAGGAATATGATCTTCTGAAAGAAATATTTAAATATTTAGGAAAACAAAAACAGAAAACTAAAAATGGTTGGACTTTTCTTTTTTGTATCAATAATTCCATCATTTGAATTAGTCACCAATAAAAACAGGTGAGAAACACTGACCTCTACCTGTTGATATTTATCTTTCTGTTTCAGGAATATGCAGGATATATATATATATATATATATTGGATGTATATGTATTATATATGTACATTAAAATATATTATTATATGTATATATACACATATATATCCCAGTTTGTATGATTTTTGCACAATTAACTTCACATTTAATGATAAAAGTCAACGTCCGTCGTCTAACTTCCACCTACCAGACCAATGAAGATACAGAAAAGCTGGACCACATCAGTGTAGGCCACAGAGTACAGTCCTCCAACCAGGGTGTAAAATATAGCGATGAGGGCGGAGATGACCACGGACATCTTTATGTTGATGTCCACGATGACGCTCAACGTCGCCCCTAGAGCCAGATAAAAAAAAAAGACATGTCTGTGTATTAGGACTGAATCCAGTCCTGGTTCAGAGGAGACCAGATCTGGGTGGAAACTCACCGAGGGCAGAGAGAATGGCAGCTGACCAGAAGATCTCGCCCATCAGAGCAGGTATGAAGAGAAGGCCGCCCATGCGTTTCCCGTACATCTGCTGGAACGGGTCCAACATGGTGACGTAACCTCGTGAGCGCATGGGCTTGGCAAAAAAAAGCCCACCTATAGGACAGAGGAGGGGCAGGGGGGGGGGCAGATTAGATTTCATGGACATGTGATTTATTAATTGTTAAGTGTCCCAGACAGAAGAGTATAAATCTGAAACACTGACCCACGACAAGACTGAGGGCGTATCCAAACGGAGCCTGAGCCCAGGCCAGACCGAAGTCAGGGAGGTACACGTACTCGGCTGTTCCGTTGATGTACCCCCCTCCCACCCAGGTGGCTGAAGAATCACAGACAAGAGCAACACCAGAGATTAGGGACGTGAATAAGATTCACTGATTTAGAAATCACCAGAAAAAACTTGTATCATTTTAAAAATTAAAAATAAAATTAAGTCATAATAAAAGTTTTATTTTTATTTTCAGGAAAATGTACTGGGAAAAAAAACAGCCATGTGAAAAGACTGGTTTATTTAAAATTGATAAAGTAATGTTAACAAATCCTCTAATTTAATCTTTAATCTTAATCTAATTAAATATATTACTGCTGATGAAAAACATATAAACAGGATTTTCTACATGAGTGAGAAACAGGGGTTTTAGATGAACAACGTCATGTGACATTGAGGGAAAGTCAAGTGGAGGGCGGAAAAATGTTGAACATTTTTTTAATATAAAATAGGCTTTAAGTTTAGGTCTTTAAATAAACTGTTTTATATCAATTAAATTGACGAACATTTCAATGTGTCTCTCAATGAATTCTTCATTTATTAGTTACATTTAATTGATTAAAATGCAACGAAAAAAAATCGATAAATACTATTTCTGAGCCTCCAGTGACAGACGGAGCTTTTAGCAGGAGGTGGTCATGTGACATTGACAGAAGGTCAACTATTGGCTAAAAAAGTCACAAATTATTTTTGTTTTGTGTTTTAAGATATTATTTAAAATCTTAAACCAATTAAATAAAGCCATTTTTCAGTAACATTGACGTCACCTGTCATTGTGAATCCACCGACGAACAGTCCGATGTCCCTCCCACCGACCATGATGGTTTCACTGCGGTCGGTGCCCTCCGCCTCCCCGGAGTGTTTGTTCTTCCATGCCGCCCAGATGCCCACGAACAGGATGAGCAGATAGAAGATGGCAATAGCCACCAGCCCCTCTACATGGATGGTCATCGTGGCACAGGTCAGAGCTAAGGACGGGGGGGCATGGAGACCTGCAGGGGCGCACGGAGGAACAGTGTCTCAAATATACTTCCTGCACATCCACCTTAAAAAAAAAACTTCAACCTATTTATAAATACATTTGAAAAAATGTTTTTCTTTTGCTCTCTCCACAGAGAAGAGAAAATTACGCGTAATGCGCAAATTACGCACAAGAATCTTCACTCTTCCCAGGACGCCGTCGTCCTCCACACTTTAAAAGACCTTCGGAAAATGTTTTAAAGTCCAGTTTAACAGAGGAAAATCGCAGCTAACCTACCGTAAATGTTTTAAAAGTCATGGACCAGGTCAGCTGATGGAGGGAGAGGTGCCGCCGTGCGCCGTGAGCAGCAGAGAAACCCGCTCCCTGGATGACTTACAGCGGCTTATAAGGACGCAGGTGCCGCCGGAGGAGCGGGGACGGACGTCAGAGAGAAGACGTCTCCGTTAATGAGCGGCTCCGAGTGGAACACGTCAGAGCGCACGGGCTGATCTAGGAGCAGGAGGAGGAGGAGGAAGGAGAAATTCCTGCACTTATCAGTGATGGGTGACGTCTTTCTACTTTTACGACCTGGTACCAGGAGAACAGGACGTGAACAGGACGTTCATTTACGAACGCTGTATTTTCTCCAACAAATCCAATAATCAATACTCGAACTGCGGCTCTTGTTTGGATCAGTCCGTGCGTAAAAGCGCAGACTGTGGTCACTGTTCTTCCCATGTCAGTGTCCCCAGGCCGCAGGGCCGACTCCAGTCATTCTGAGGCCCTGGATTAGATTAGAGTTCGACTCCCAGGGCCCCCATACAGACGTCCCATAAACCACGGAACACAGAATGAGATGTTCATCAAACAATAGTAATTAATCACGATTAATCATTGTTCATTAATTTTTTTCAAGGCAAGACACACGGGAAGTGTATGAGTCTGGCCTGCAAATAATAATAATTATTATTATTTTAGTGAAATAAAAAAGGAAATAAAGACTTTAGAGTTACACAAAAGACTCAAAGCAAATACATCTACTTTGTCGACTTTTGTTTTGATTTTCTTAATAAAAGTTAATCATCACTAACAAAAGTTTCTAATTTAGTTTGCCTTGGAGTAAAAAAATGTAAAAAGATTGTTCAGTCACAAAGTCAGGCAATAAAAAATCTCACCTGATTGGTCCGTTTGTTTAGGTCCAGTAGAACACACGTGAAAGGTGAGATGATGTCACCATAGTCTCACCTTTTAAAGCCAGAGCATAAATGCTTTTAAAGCACATATACATAAATACACAGAAAAAGGTTTCTGTTGACGTCACAAATCCATGAATGTGCTCCACAACTGCACACCAAAACAAAACGTCTTCACACTGACGGCTCAGTGTCAAAGGACTCGATGCTTTAATGAGCAGCTGCTGCTGGCAGAGACCAAACTGTGGCGTTGCCTTGGAGTGGGGGGTGGGGTGGGGTGGGGGAGGAGGGTGTGTATATATCATACATATATATAAAATATATAATACATACATTTATCCAATTAGCAATATATATGTACACATATATACACACTTATATGAATACATAATTATAAATGCATATATACATCTACATATACACACATATGTATCCATATAATAATATATGTATATATTTAAATATACATGTACATATACTGTAGCTCTGACAGCTCACCATGACCCCAGTGTTAAGACAACAAGCTGATTTGTTTACCTTGAAAATGTGTTTCCTCCAGGTGAAGTTCACTGACAGTGGGAAATCACAAACAACAGACGGTCCAGAAAACCCAAGAGAGGTTTCTGTCCTTCCTGGTCGCCGCTTCTTTCAGACGTGTCTGTACCAACCGTGTGGTTCGTGGTCCTGGTGTGTGGTCCACTACAGAGGTACAGTTTGAAAGTCAACCAAACCAAACACAGGTGTGTAATGTTCTAATATTCCTCACCTGATTTTTGTTGTTGTTTTTAACACGATGGAGAGATGAGTCAGTTAATGTCACATGACAAAAACCGATGCTTAAAAAAAATCTTTTTATTAGGAGTAAAGACAGAAGTGATGAACAGCTGCAGTGACATCTGTACTCTCAGTACACTTCAGTACTCTTCTCAGTACACTTCA